CCCCAAAACCCCAAAACCCCAAAACCCCAGAATACTTAATTTAAAGATATTTTGAAGAAATCAATGAAATTAAAAATAGTGAATTATTTTTAACTGTTTAAATTGTTCAATTTGATTAGTAAAGCTACTCAATTATCTTGTCAAAGCATTAAATGAATTTCTTCGAATCTAAATTTAAATACTGGGTTGAAAGAGAAAATCTTAAATGTCCATTATGCGACAGAGAGTTAAAAACCATATTGTCGTATTAATCAGCATAAGAACAAAACATCATCTTTTCTGAGTAGGCATCCCCGATCATTAAAGGCTTAGGAGAACCATTCAGATTTGACCATGCTCTCCTTAGATGAACTAGTAACTCTTCTATTTATGTCTCTATCAGAATGTCAGGTAAAAAATACACCAATGTCTTTAATGCAGTTATATCACACAGGCCAAGATCTTATGTTCTGATATCCTAAAACTTATCTTTGAATAGTTTCAATGACTCTTTTAATTGTTACTCTAAACTTACATTTAGAAGGTCAGGGTTAAATAAGCATGCAAAGTCGATTTTAATCTGATTAGCAATAGTGCAATTAAATAATCTGATGTCTGATTTTTTATTGACTGGAGAACGCTGATTTATAGCCATCATAAACTCGAATAATGTATGATCGGTTACATTTTGAACAAGACAGTAATCTCTCATAGCTATAAGACAAACACCTAATAGTAAGTCATTGATAGAACATCCAAACCTACTACATATTTTCTACTTGAGCTCATCTACTTTCATATCTTTCGAAAGAGTAATTTAAGGTTTATTTCTCTCAACTATCTAAGTTATTTGCGATTCACGATACTATTAAGGTTTGTATTTTAAATGAACATAGATTCCCAAAATACAAGCAGCATATCTTTTGACGCTTTCTAAGAGGGATCTTTATCTCACAAATGGAAGATTCTAAGGATCAAATTCATCTTGTAAGGCACAAAACAAGTTTAAGCAACCCACCCCATCTATTAACCCATGATAAAACAAAAACACTACTACTGATTAATCTGAGCTGAAGTCTTGTTTAATCATGACTCTATACTGGATTGAGTCTCTAGGTAAGTCTTTGATTTAATTTGTCACAAGATAATCCAATAGAGCTTATTCATTTTTAAATTCATCAGGAATCTGCGAAATAGCTCTGTCTAAATGTTTCTCAAATTCCTCATCACTTAATTTTTTGTAGTAGAAGTTATTGAACACCTTAATCAATTTAGATCTCATTTCTGGCATTCCTTGCGTGTTTCTCATTATTTACTGCTTTATACTACTCAAATCTTTGATCTTAGTCTTAGTTATTACATGGAAAGCAGTTATTATATTTGATCTGTAGAAAAGGGTGTCAGGTCCATCTTGAACCTTAATCATATTACCAATGGATCGCATAATCTATCAGAAGATAAATTATCATTCCTTGTATAATGGTTGTGTATGAAATTAATAGACAGCAGATAAAGACTTTAAAAAAGGTTATGAATGCTGATAGATAATAATTATCAATGCTTGGCTACATTTTATTGTTTACTAATAGAAGCTTAAAATTATTTGATCTTAATTCTATTATTATCCATCTAAAATTAGTGTGATGGGGTTTTGGGGTTTTGGGGTTTTGGGGG